TTGTCCTCGATGTGCAGGGAAGTCCCCCAACATTTTAGCATCGGGGGAACAAAAATATAATTCAGACTAATCTAAAATGATCTGTGATGAAATACACACCGATATTTGAACAATAGAAGACAGAATAGACAACGATTTTTTAAAAACATTTTACAGGTCAAATTAAAGCTCCCTCTGTGTTGAAGGTGATATGATGGTCTGTGTGCAGATCATTGGATATTTTTTTGCTGCGGTGTTTGAAGTGTTCTGCGTGCAATAAAATACATTTTAAAAATTAAATTATTGTTGTAATTAATGTAATTAATATGTATTATTATTTAACGGTGTGCTTTAATTCTAAGTCGTGTTTCAACAGTAGTAGATATAAATATGACAGATCAGTCACACACACCAGTTGTTGGAAGGCGGGCTGGTCCAGGTCACTCTGCAGGGCGAACTCACTCAGAGCCTTCCACGGAGGCTGGTAGGTCTGAACCTCCACCGGGTTTCCCTGCACAGTGCTCTCATGTCGGATAGGACTTCCGGCCACTAGAGGCGTCCCTGTCAGGCCCTGCAGGTTCTGAGGGAACAGCCAACAACAACAACAACAACACATCAGCATTTGTCGTTTACAGTTTTTGTGCAGCAGTGGAAATTATTTAAAAGGTTTCACTGACGCCGAACAATGGTGGTTGTAAAAGGATGTTGACACTGTATCTCTCAGGTCAGGCACCTGAAGCCACAGCAGTTGATTCATTATTAATTGACTTAATGTTTAATTACAGCTGAGCTCTGGGGTGTTCTGTTATGACGCAATCACAGAGAAAATGATTGAATAAATATGAAATAAATAGTTTAGATGTGTTTCCATGTGTCACTGTCAAAATAACCCATGACTTTTTATGTTAAAATCATAAATGTTTTAAGTTGATGAGGTTGTTTCTCTTTGTCACCATGACGTCACAGGCTTTGCTCCGAACCCCAGCCAGAGTAAATAAATCACCTTTTAAATCATCCAGTGTGAATAAAAAACATCAAGCAAACACAGGAATCGTTGGTAGTAATCAAGCGGTTGGACTTACGAAGATGCTTACAGTCTTATCACTGTGCTGCTGCTGCTGGAGCTGCTTCATCAGGATCGACTTCTTCTTGTCTTTACAGCGCTTGTTCTGGAACCAGACCCGGATCACCCGGGGGCTCAGGCCGGTCATCTCCACCAGCTGCTCCTTCATCAGCGCGTCCGGCCTCGGGTTGGCGTTGTAGCAGGTCCGCAACGTGTGCAGCTGCTTCTCGTTCAGCACCGTCCGCACCCGCGTCGTCTTCTCCGACTGCTTGTGGACGTGGTTCCGATGCGGGGCCTGTCGCACCGTGACCGGGTCTTCAGAGGAGAGAGAGGAGGGGACGGAGGAGAAAAACACACACACACCGTTTGGTAAAGTATAACAATCACTGCAGACTGATGGTGTTTTATTATTATAATTATGAATCTTATATTAATACACAATATTTCACTACAGATTAAATTAAAGTTCTAGCCTTTAGCCTTTAGCCTCAGCAGTAATAATATCAGTACTTTGTATTTTATTTATTTTATTTTTTATAACCTGTGTCATGGTTGAACAGCGCTGCTGAAACACGAGGCCTGTGTCTGAATAACGTCTTTAAGTAGGAAGTTGTTGGACATTGTTCACACATTTGCTTTGCTCTTGTTCTGTTGACACACGCTCTCCTCCCTCCCTCTCTCTCTCTCTCTCTCTCTCTCTCTCTCTCTCCTCACACAGACACCACAAACACACACTTCACTTCAACCTCAAGCAAATTTCCAAGATGATTTGAAGACCAAAGTAATAATTCTTAACACATTCTTCTTTCTCTTTAACCACATTGAATTGTATTATATTAAAATAATAACATAATATAATAATGTAACATTATATATTATATTATACAATTATATAATAAAAGGTAAAATAACTATTCTCAAAATTATGAATATCGAAGTACCGTACAATACTAGGGAAAACAGTCGGTGTACGATAAATAAACGATTAAAAAAATCGACATTCAATTTAGATTTTAGTTTTTTTTAAGAATGTTCACTGTGTCATTACTGCTTACAGTTGGGTTCAAAAGCATTAAACTGTACAAGTATATCTGTTTATTATGTATTATTATTATATTATTTATACATTATAAATTAAATACAGCATTTACTTCAATACAGTTTTAAAAATACGATTTAATGCCTACATTTGTTATTTGTTCTATTAAAATATTTAGCAAAACTATACCAGTATTTATAGCAGTTTGTAAAAAAATCTTCCAATAATAATAATAATAATAATAATAATAATAGTAATAATAGTATTGCTCTGACCTGGCAGGTGCAGCGCTCTGTTGTTGGAGTGCATGTGCACCGGGCTGCACGGACTCCCAGCGGAGCTTCTCTCCAGGAGGAGGCTGTGGTCCGCCCGGCACAGCAGCTCCTCTTCCCGCAAAGAGAACTCATCTCCCGGCAGCAGCTGCCGGCTGCACACCGAGCAGCGGAAACACTCGATGTGGTAGACGTTTTCCCGGGCCCTCATCACCAAGTCGCTGCTGCTGAATCCCAGGTTACATTTTGCACATTTAATTCCAAAGAGCCTGTGGGAAAAAATGAGTTTATTTATTACATTATACGAGAAAAAATAAGACGAAATCTTACGGTTTTATATGAAGGTTTAATTCATGTTGAATTGAAGTTTCTTCAGTGTTTTTCTGTGTATTTTTTTGTGTGTCATAACGAAGCTGCTTGCCCTGTTTTTCTTGTCATTGATCCGAGGAGAATCTATGTGATATTTGTCTCCAAAAACACAGACTTTTTGCTGATTACCGATGACTATGATTGTTTTTTTTTCCTCCCTTAACTCCTACCTTACATAGTCTCTTTTGCAATAGGTTTTCCCGTCCCGGACGAAACAAGTGCAGGTCTCATCCAGGTATTGACTGCACTCTGCACACTTGAGACAGGCTGCATGCCACTCCAGGTCCGGAGACACTCTCAGTATGTACTGGTCATGGATCTGACTTCCACATCCCACACACATCGCGAATCCTGGCTTCTCTGCAACCAAAAAAACACACACACTGCTGTGATGTTCCGTAACTAAAAGTAAATGTTATCAAATAAGTTAAAAGAAAATTGAAACCAGTAGAATTCAGATCGTGTCTGATTTGCAGTGATCTCGTTTTTTTTTCATACCGGACAATTCTTTTTTATTTATCTCTTTTTCTTTTTTTTTTCTTCCAAAATGAAGTTGGATTCTCTCCAAAATTCGACGTTCGATTCGGTGTTTTGATTCCCTCCAGATATCGAATCCTCTACCGAATATCTCACGTACAGTCCATAAATAAAAGCCGCTGCGGCGCAGACACGATCTGTCTCCCTGGAAGTGTCCGCTGGAGCGGATGTTTACTTACTTTTGGAATGATCCCCCATATCACCCAAGAAAGAAGAGTTGAAAATAACATCCACCATACAGGAAGGATGACGGGCGCTGTGGTCGAGGCAGAAAAGATGTCAGCTGCTGGACTGGACCCTCGCCTGCCTCCCTGAGAACTTCTGTCTGTCCCGACTGGAGGGGGGCAAGGAAGCTGCACCGTCCCACGCACCCTCGGCTCCTCCGACGTCATGACGTCAGCAGACGGAACTCTCCAATCACCTTGTCCGCGTCAGCCTGAGCCTGTGTAAGTATGAGCATTTAAAGCCCTGGTCTGCATGTGAAGTTCGGTTTAATCAATATTCAAATATATATATATATGTAGATTAAAGAAGAAAATATGGATTTTTTTTCTATTCGATGTTTTGGAAATACATTGATTTTTTTTTAACAAAAATATATTTTTTTCACAAAAATTAAAACGTTTGTAGTATTGATTGATTTATGAAGTTATTTTTTTAGAGATTCGTCAGCGTCGTTTCGGTATTTGAACGATTTAAAACGTTTTTTTAAAAGAAAAATGCAAAAAACGTTTAATATTTTTTATTGTCTTCAAAATCATATTCAAGCTGTAACTACGTTTCCGTTTCAATTTTATCATTTTCCTTATGTTTTCATGTTCCATAGAAAGTCGTCCTCGTTCATCAACCTCTCCAGAAGAATCGCTGTTCTGCCGTTTATCTTTTCGAGAACAAGGCCATCTACTGGTGGAAAATCAGCACTGCAGTTATTGATGATAGAAGACCTTCGAGAGTGCTGGACATGTTGAATGAGGTAATTATTTAGCTCTATATTTTATATGTACATATATAATATATTTTATTATATATTATAAAATAGATGAAAAATTACTGTACGTCGAACAGCGAATACAGCTTTTTCTAATCCATTTTTACATTATTATTTACACTATTATTCAACGTACAGTCATTTTACTGAAAGGTATAATAATGCTGATTTATTTACCTGATTTTACACGTCTTTGTCTCAGGTCACAACACGATAGTTATGGGGTGTGTGTGTGTGTGTGTGTGTGTGTGAGGAATTTTATTTCAATTTATCTAGTTAAAAATTTCAATTTTTGCGTGGTGTAGTTTAATTTATCTGCACCACCGAAAATCCACTTCTTCACTGCATCAGTTCAACGTGTTTATTCATTCTGATCATCTTCAATGTAATTAAAACAAATCTGATTCTGATTTTTTTAAAAACTCAAACTATCAGGTTAAAGTCAGGCCGAGTTTACATTTGTAACTCATTGTTGTAAAATACGTCTTTTACCTCTTTTGTAATTTAATTTAATGTATATATATATATTTTTTTTTAGCTTTTCCTGGGTTATATTTTAGCCAAAATATCTGACTTGTCTTTTAGCCTAATTTCTAGACTAGACAGTGACTTGGAAAAATGCACCATTCATGGCAAAAGTCAGGATAGCAGTGTTTAATTCACTGATATTATTTTTTAATAAACTTTTATTTTTTTAAAATATTTAACGGCATTTTGTCCCAGACTTGTATCATGAGTAAAAATAATCACATTGTGTCGGGAGTCGAGTGTAATTGTAGTTTTTTTTATGTCAATGTTGTTGCATTAACACACAGCGTTGGAGATGCTTCAAAAAGAAGTTTTTCCGCCAACTTCAAATCAATGGCTCCAACATGAACGTCACTTTCTTCAGTACAAAAAGTTCAGTGTGTTATTGTTTATGAATTCTGCAAGTCATTCCATCTTGATATGTTATTTCTTTTTAATGAGTTTTCTTCTTCTGTTCTCTGTGACTGAGTCGTGCTCCTGTCGACTCACACAGCTAATGGTATTTGAATTGAATTAGGATGCATTAAGTAAATCAGAGGCTTGAACGACTGGTTCAGTCACAGCAGCGTGGAGTTGAAGTTTTGGTTTATCTTCCTGCTCAGAGGACGAGGAGAGGCCGACGTGTCTGGTGTGGTGTGAGAGTTTGATGAAGGCAGACGATACGTCCAGTTCATAAAACGAGACAAAACTCTTAGGAAGTGTTGATAATATACAAAATACCAGGAAGTTAAATTCACATGAAGTATTTTTCATATTCACTTCGTCTGAGAAAAGTCTCTAACCATTTTCAAACTCATGAAATATAAAGCAGCCAAGATTTTCTTGGTTCCAAGTTCTGCTGTTTCCAGGCTGAGACAGAACTTCTAGAACACGCTGTGGTTCCTTTGAGTCTTTAACTAAATAATTTACACACACAGTCTCCAGACTACAATCAGCTGGAGCTATGGCACAGTGTGTGTGTGTGTGTGTGTGTGTGTTTACCCTAATCCAGACCCTACTGTAAGTTACAGTACAGTTTTTTATTTCAGATCAAAGACAGCGTTTGTCTTTCTTTTCAGTATCACAGAATATGAGTCTCTTCATTGTCTCCTGCAGTAATGACTTGACCTGGTGCCAGGTTCTTTTCCATTAGCGTTGACATCGTTGGACTGGTGTCAGTAAAGGATATCAGATAAACCTGGAGACAACGTTCAGCAGCTTTTTTATCTCTGACGTTCCTTTATTGTCCTTCATCGTTGTGAAGACATTAAAGCCACCTCATATATACAGTATATATATATATATTTACTGTAGGCATATACATATACTGTATATTTATAATGAGTAGGCATATACATATACTCTATATTTATAGTTATATTTGGCTGATTTTTATAGTATAAATAGTAAAAAGTAATATACACCAGAGTCCAGAGTGACGTTGATCTAAATGGTTTAACTCCATTTTTCCGACCGGTGTTTGATACGTGCTCAAAAAAAGAAAGAAATCCCCCTTTTCACGCACGCAGGCCCACTCTGAGAGGAGAACCATGTTGTGGATTCATTATTCATCGTTCTTCAGAGTTAATGCAGCATTTACATGATAATTAGTATTAATTTTTGATTGGAGCCTCGGGGAACTTTTGTAGAGCTGGGGAGGCGCTGGCCTCCGTCGCCGTTTTACTGTAACTGTCAGTGGATTTAACAAATGCACAGTTTGTATTTTCTCATCAGCGGCTCTCATTAGTGAAGTGTGAAAATCCTCTTTCTAATCAGTGAGTTTTAACATGAAGCTGTGTCACTTACATGAGGAGAGAAGCCTCTCTGGACCAGGGTGTGACGCCCGTGCACACGCTGGAACAGGATTCCACCTGAAGAGACCTGAGCCAAACAGACAGGGAAACAAATGGCAGCATCAAACTGCTGTTGGTTTTCATGAATTTAATATTAGACGATTGGAAAATAAATGTGTTGATGCCCTGCTCCACAACACGTTAACCATTACACCCAGATCTGGGGTGAGGCGAGGGTGAGGCGAGGGTGAGGCGAGGGGGCAGAATCCAGCATCAGTATTGTAGGTTACTCCATTATAGTTGGCCCGTTTTTTTCCCCCACGTTGACCATGAACAGTGACAGCAGACAAACGTAGTGTAACTTCAGTTGTTTTTTTCCTTAATGATGCTGATTTCTAATGTGTTCGTTGACCGTCTGATGGAGTCACGATCTGCCGCCTGAGGGAATGTTTCTCTGAGATGGAACAGGTTTTATACTCACTGTGGGGTTATTATATTAACAGCACAGTAGGCGCACGAAGGCCTGACGCCCTGCGTGTGTGTTGCACGAAGGCCTGACGCCCTGTGTGTGTGCGTGTGTGTGTGTGTGTCTTAGAGAGACCTCCTTTAGAGTGAATTGTTTCTTCGCTGCAACAAGAACTCTGTGCTGTTACCGTTTTTCCAAAAGTGAACTAAGAGAATTATTTTTCTGGAGTCTGTGCAGCGACAGTGCCGTGTCTTCTTCTGTCCCTCCTGTGAGAGACGCCCCTCAGATTGACAGCACCCTTCATACTGTATTATACAGCCTGGCTTTTAACTCCAAGAGAACTGTGTTCACAAATTGATGCTCTGCTCCTTTGGGGCTGTAGCTGGAACATTAAATTGTACTGAAATATTCATACGTGAGTGCATTTAGCTGAGAGCAATTGAAGTGCGACTCCCCAGAGGCCAGATGGAAATGTTGCAGGGCCCCCAGCACGTGCTAGCAGACACCCGGTGCTCTGACTGGGACAGTGATTGTGATTTATCCCGGGCTGCTACGTCAGACTACAGACCAGAGGTTAGACGGGTCGCAGGGCCACTGATGTCACCGGCTCTGACCTGGAGACGCAGCAGGACCATCTGCTGTGGTCGCTCCAAAACCAAACGTCTGGTCACTCAATACTAAAACTATTGTTAGCTACATTTTGGCTAACATAAAAACTAAAAATGGAAAAATGTTATTTTGGAAGAAGGCTCTTTAGTGCTGACTTATTGAAGTAATTTATTAAAACTGTCTTTATTTCTTAGGAGTCATAATGGCAACTTTGTAAATTTGACACTGATACGAGGACAAAGAGTTTAACGCATTATGGGATATAGAATATTGGAAAATCAGAGGAGCTTTTTTTTTTAAGTCTTTCTGATCTTTTAATCAGAAGTTAAAAATGATTGTCTTTTTAGTTAGAACTTTCCAGCTTTGGTAGAAGAAACAATCTGATGATGCTACAGTATTTTGTTGCTAAACCAGAGTATTTTTTATTGTTAAGTTTTGGTTAAAAAAAATTATGTTTGCTTTGATGTCAAAATAATTAATTGGAAAAAACCTGGTGACCAAAGTCACATGACATGACTTTTTCATGTTCAAAAGTTATAATTCAAAGTCTTGGGGTAAAGAATTTTCAGATAGAATTTTTAAACCTAGTGAACGAAGGAGTTCATGTAAATTTTATTGTATGTTTTCTGACAGAATGCGCTCATGGTTTCTCCTCCACAGGACAGATTAGTCTTAATGAGCGCTCGTGACGTTAACGTCTGTTTCACAGCAACCTGCTTTAGTGGGAGTGGGAGAGAAAAAGTGCGTCGGTGGGAGACGTTTCCCTGAAGAATTCTGCTTTTTACTTAAAAACTCTTTGCTAATTGACTCTTCATGGATCAAGTCATGCATAACTTTGTCCTTACATGTCACACTGCTGAATTAGTTTTCATGTTATGTAGATTATTTTATCCACTTGTTTGGAGCTCATCACTGATGTAAAGTCACGTCTCCCAAAGGTCACGACCCTCATGTTTATCCCATAACTCATTATCTCTTCTTTGTGTTTACATTACCGTTTTCTTTAAAAAAGGAAAACTATGATTAACCCATTTTATATACGTTGAATAGATTATTTTATTTTATTTTATTTTTGTGTTCTGTGGATGGTGAGTACATTCCCTACAAATTTGGACCAATACCAGTGTGTTTTATTATTTCCAGTTAAACGTCTAAATGCATTGCATTGATTGTTCTCTTTTTTGAATGTAATCCACTTCATTTTATCAAATGTGGCGTCAGGTTAGTGATGACCAGAATGACCAGACACTAGATTTTCTCTGACCCACTTTCATCCAGGAGGAAAATTAGGTCAGTATAACAAAAAAGAAAATTGTATGTTAATTTTTTTTTTCTTTAAAGAAAAGAAAAGACATTCTTGTAGCCATGACAACAGTCTCCTGAGTGGATTTCTTCCACCCAGTGAACGTCAGGATCAGGCACTTAAGAAATATGTTTCAAAAAGAGAACCTGAGAAGCTTTTTAAAGAACAATGTATAATTTAGTTGTATTTTTCTTCAGCTTCTGAGCTGGTGGAAGAGTGGCCTCTGTGTGAGATGTGTTCTGAATCTGTCAGACCGCAGCAGTGATGCAGTTCTACAACCATTATCTATTTCTCCTCCATGAGACTGAGCCACAGGGCAGAGCTCTGAGAAATCACGACCGCAAACAAAACCACCTCAGTTTGAGGAGTTTGTAGGAATCAGGAATTACCTGCTGCATGATCCATGTTTGAAATTATGTGTTACTTAAAACATACAAACATGTCAAATAGTCGAATCAAAAGATACCGAAAAATTAGGGAAAAACTGCGAGAAAGCAAATGGGGAAAATAGCAAAAAGTAGGAAAGGATTGGCCAAAATGAATTGACATTAGACCGAAAAAAAAGGGGGAAAAAATCTTGACCTAGATTTTTGTGCACTTCATCCACATCTTTTTTTCTATTTCTTTTTTGAGAAAGCTGCGTCAGTACAGTAACAGTAGTAGGTAAATAAAAACTTTATTCAGAAAAAACATCTTCCAAAGTCACGTCAACAGAAAAATATCTTTAAATTCATTCCAAGGTGCAGAGAGGAGGAGGAGGGTGAAGTCATCATCCTACTGTAGGACTGCAGGTGAATCTTCTGTGTCGGGTCGTTACTGTCCTTGGTTAATGAGAGTGAAAACAGTGGTCATGTAATGTTAATGCAGTTAAAGTGACTTCCTGTGTGCCATGATTAAAACATGTCAGTTATTAAGTGTCTAATGGTCACCGTTAATTCACTGAACTTCCTGTGAGTGTGACAGTGACTGCGGCGCTGCGTTCACCGTCGACGTCCCACCAGTAATCAACCTCTCAGCCTGTCTGCTGCAGCTCTGCTCGCCGTCCTGGCTCTCACTGGTCCACGCCGTGATTTATATTGACGTATTAGGTTCATATGAATCATTTAGACCGAGGTTTCACTCATCTGTCGGTGGTAGAGCAGGAACACTTTACACCGTGAGGTTTTATCTTCATAGTTTTATGTTGTTTTTAACTTAACTCAAATCTTAGAAAAGAGTTAAATGACTTATTGTTTTTTTGCAGCTGAGTGAAGAAAATGTTTTTGGAAATCAATTTGACATGTTAGCACCGAGGTCAACTGCTGGTCCGCGGCCCGGGGGTTGAGGACCACTGATGTAAAGCACCATTCCCTTGATTGTGTAGCTCACAGTGAAAGAATACTGTGTAACACCTACTGAAGTAGTTGGTCATTTTTAACAGGACAAACTGAGTAGAACTTCCATCCAGGAAGTTGAGTGTTTAATCCTAACCTCCTCTGATTCCAGATCATTGTCTGGGTTTAAGAAGTGACTCGACCAATCAGATTGATTTCACACATGAATGAATTCAAATGAATGTTTATTTCAACTGCTCTGTTTTATTCATTTTATCCAGGTATTTATCCATCCACCGCAAAGGGGGGTGTGGAGTGGAGTAAAGTGGCCACGACCTGGAACAACATGGGACTCGTTGGCCCTGGAATCCTGGAAACTCCCCACCAGGGGTCAGTAGAGCTGAGGAAGCCCCTTGGATGAAGAGGAGAAACGTCTTCAACTGGAGGTGAGTCCAGTTGAACTCTTTAAAACTTCTTTGATTTAGTTCGATGACTGAGAATGTCCACCAGGATATTTGTCAAATTTATTTCCAGTTTTTAACTTTATGTTAATTCTATACCTTAATCTAATCTTTGCGTTATTTGTTAACTGTACAGCTGCCACTGCTGGTGTTAGTTTGTTGTGTGATTTTCCCTGGAGGTCTACAAAGTTATTAAGAATTAAAACATCTACAAATGTTTGCCAAACAAAACAAAAAATGAATTAATTATATGAGCAGGTAATTATGGGTCGTCTTCACACGGCAGTTGCAGTGACTAGATTAATTAGCAAAAACAGTAAACGATCTGTTGATGAACTTAAATAATTCACTGTTTTTAATCTCTTGTGCAAACAGATGAGTCTGTGAATCCAAACGCTCCTCGATGATACGATATAAATATCCAAATTTAAAGACGTTAAAATAAACAAGAAAACAAGAAGCAGTTAGAGAAATACTCACTTTTATTTTCGCTGTTTTTACTCAAATGACAACGTCTGCTTTTGGCAATGATTTGTTTCCTCCTCGTCAAGTTTGCAAAAAAGTGTCAACATTGTAAACATTAAAGTGCAAAGATTTAGCTCACCTTTGATGGCACGTAGTATCTTTTAAAGGTTCATGCTTCAAGCTCACCGGTCGGGTTTGTTTGAAGAATCACGATGTTTAACTTTTCACACGAACACAAAAACCTCTCCTTTAAAATATTTATGTCTCATGACGTTAAAGAAATGAACAAAGGAGAAAAAGAAAAAAGCCTTGAAGACTGTAGTTACCCTGTGGCTGCTGGATGAAGTGAAAGTTCATGATGTTAATGAAAGGAAACAAAATAAGAAAAAAAAAAAAACCAACCCTCACTGTAGCTGTAGATAATGGCATGGTGGCTGTTTGTGTTTTTTAAGCATTTACATTAGTGTTCAGTGTGTAGGCTTGACCGCCACCTGCTGGTTTAAATACGTGTAAAGTTCAGTGCATTTATTCAAAGTCTGAATTCCTGATGACAATATGTCCACAAAGAAAATTGTAACTCTTTCTGGGACGTTATTGTCTTGTTGTGCTATTTCAGGGAATCACGCCTTTAGAAATCCATTAGTGCGGAACATTAGGAGAACAGAACGCTGAGACTAGATTAATATGAACTGAGGACCATCTGTACTGGCTAAAACAAAGGCCCAAACTAGATCTGGACTGGAAACATTTGGACATATTAAATGTGGTCCCTTTCATCTTGTTCAAACTTTCAGTGGCAGTTTAAAAAAAAACCCTCCCTGTTTATGTGAATTAATTCATGAATCTTTATGTATCCATGTGTCCCAGAGCTGTATCAGCTGGACCCAGGAGCCGGAACTTCTCCTCCAGAGATGGCTCGGTGTCGCCGCCCTGCAGATGGATCAGAGGCTTAGTCTGCAACAGCACACAACCGCTGCCTTGGCCACGCCTCTCCTCCTGGTTCCTGTGGTTGAAGATGTTTAGTCTGTGGTCCAGCTCAGGGCTGGTCTTTGCTGAGCCTGTAGGACTGGGAAGCTTTACGTTGACAGGGTCGACGGCCAGGCCTTTTTGTGCAAGGCAGGAGCCCTCGGAGAGGGAGAGCAGCTCCTGCATGACCCCACCGGGGTCCCTGGGGTCTTGGCCTGAGAGTGAAGGAGGGCAGCAGTGGGGAGAGCTGTATCTCAGACTCAGTTCCTGAGCTGTGCTGCTGCTGCAGCTGCTGCTGCTGCTGCAGCTGCAGTCTGTCACTGGTGAAACAGGGATGTGGCTGCTCAGGCCGTGAGGCCGTGCTGTGACACTGCCCCGCGACAGCAGAATGCTGCCGGAGGACTCCACCGCACCACCGCCCAGCTTCTCCACAGCCAACACTCGGTTTGACTGAGGTGGATTTGTGCTGGTAGGAAGGTGAATATCAATGGATGCCATGGTGATGTTGCGACTTCCTGAACCAAGAGCTGCAGCGTCTGCAAAAAGATTCAAACCAGTTGGAAAAGGACCAGACCACTTGGTTTCGTTTTGACAGCCTTAAAATATTTGGCAATTTTTTTTTTTTTTGAGTTTACTGTGTATTACCTTGACTGGCTTCACTGTAGTATTGGCTGATGTAGTTGTTCATGTCGTCACGTCCGACCGTATCTTAGTGAAAAATAATAACGAGATATTACAAGTTAGTTCAAATAAAAAATATAAGTTCAAACAAATAACCTACTAAATTATGTCTTACTCACAGTCGAATGCCTCCACTTATGTAATCTGCTATTATTTGTTGAAAAATCCACATTGGGATCTCTTTTGAGGCAAAGTACTAAATTTAAAACACTTATTTTTGAAGACGTTTTCACAAATGTATTTAAATAGTATGTTACTTTTGATCAATAGTTGGCATAATTTAACTTTTTTGGTCAGATGTTAAAAATTAATGATGAAAATCTTTGCAATTTTTTTCAGATTTTTTTTTCTATTTTGCATGTTTCTCATTGAAATATAGTGTTTTGTTAGTGTTGAGAAACTTTTATTTTCGGAGATTTGTTCAGGAAATTATTGCTATAGTATTTTACTGTGATCAAAAGTTGAAGTATCAAAAAAGTGTATTTTTTCTGATTTTTAATCAAAAAAATGGACATAGCTAAGTATTT